CCTTTTTTGAAATTCTTAAAAAAAGTTAAATAAATAATTAAATAGACTCTTATTAAATTAGAAGCTGTGATATAGTAATTAAAAAGTAGATTTTTAATTTTATTTTATTAAAAAACTTAGCTAACTTAATTCTAATAGCGATATTAATATTTAAAAATATTATATATCTTAATAAACGCGTAGATACTATATAGAAATTCTCTTATAGTATATTAATTCTCGAGATAATCGCTATAATACTCGTCGAATTAATAATATAACGTATTAGAGAAAATACGTAATCTTACTAGTTAATTTATTACTTTAATTAAACGCCGTAATCTCTTTCTATTTTTTAATCGAACTTATAATAAGTAGAGCGGAGAGTAGAGCGAAGAGTAGAGCGGAGAGCGAAGCGGAGATAATTTATTCTTTTAATATAAAGTTAGATATTAATAACGGCGATATCGATAAATAAGAATATCTTATACGACGTCGAAGTCTTTTATAGATATATAAAACGTAGAAAAAGACGTCTTTAAATATAGAAAGGTCTACGTTATCGTTATAAACGATTTAATCGAATATCGCTTAATTATCTTCTCTCTACTTTTATACTTAAAAACTAAATATATAAATTTTTAAATTTCTTTTAATTCGAATTATTAAAAGTTTTTAGATTTTGCTATTATATAGAGAAAGAATATTACTATAAGATATAAAGAGATTAATATCTAAAGTTTAAAGATATCTCGCTATCGTCGTTATAGAGAAAGTTAAATATCTAAATATTCTTAATATATTCTATATTTATATAAGCTCGTTCTAAATATATTAATCGCGTTAATATTATTTAAGATATATATATTATAATCTCTTTAACTTCTAAGCGAAGCGTATTTAAGTTAATATATATTTCTATAAAGAGTATATTTTAAGTACTCGACTTTCTAATTAAGGGTAATATAATAAATCTATTTAGATAATTTCTTAATTTAATTTATTATATAATCTTTTAATAATATTAAATATAATACGCTATTATCTAAGATTTTTCTAGTAAATATTAATTAATTAAAAATAAGTATTATAAGTATTAGCGAAGATTATAATCTCGAATTAGCTTATATAATAATAATAAGTTATTTAATTCTAATAAAAGATTTAAATACTTAATTAGTAATCTCGATAAATTAATTTACTCTTTAATTAACTTTAAAGAATTATATAATAGTTATAGAAAAATCGTTAAAAGTCGCGAATTTCGTATTTCGATTAATTATTACGAGTGTTTTATATAAAATAACGATTAATATAGCGATTCTATAGTTTTCTACTTAGACTCTAAAGAAAGAATATATCGTAATAAGCTTGCGATATAATTAGCCCTCGAAGTAAAAAACGAGTGTAAGGCTGGCCATAGGGTACCCCGCTAAGCGAGTCTGAATACTAAGACGAACTGCTGGCATGTTCTGAGATCTTGGCATAAGAGTCTTGGCATGCTTGGCATGTTCAGTGCCAACCTCCCTATAGGGCTGAGAGTAGAATGCCGCCAGGCAACCGCTCCCCGCTAGCCACGCTGGAGAACCATCACATCCGTTCATATCCGCGTGAGTATCGCCGACGATCAACTTCCCAGTCTCCTAACGAGCAGTGTGGTCAAACCTTACATGGCTTTGGAAAGAGCAGCATCCCATGAGTCCGACTTACAGGAGTTCGCCGAACCGAGTAATGACGAGACTGTCTACTCCATTGGAAGGGGAATTCCTCAACCATTGCCTGTTCCTCTGATCGGCGAGACCAGATTCATCAAGGATCCCAACGGATGGCTTCATTTGATCAAAGATGGGAAGGAATCACAAGCGCCAATGCTGTATGAATCTCGGAAATCAATCGCGCCTCCTGGTATGACGCTGAACGACTTGGTCATGGCCCACGAAGAACGGACTGCTCGATGGAAAGAGGGTTCCTGCTGTGCGGAGATCATTGACTTCTTCCAAACTACCATCTCGAAAGTACAAGACTTTACATTAAAGTCTTGCATTTGCATTGGGATAGGCACATTTACGGGTACTCATCCCTACTGTCCTGGAGATCGGTCATTCGATCAGCTCATTGCATTTGAGGCTATACTTGATATTCTTCGTGAGTGATATACAGCCTGTCTCCCCTCCGTGATACCCTCTCCAACTGTCGGACATTCGACGTCTTCATTGCTGATACCGCTCGAGTATCAAGGACAGACACACGAAATTCCGGACGTCTTCATCCAAGATCCCGTCATGAATTCTCTGGATGCGGAATTCCTTCGATCCCGAGGCTTCACTGTACTCGAAAACCCTGCTGCTCAGAATCTTGCCACGCCCACTTCGTTACTTTTCGCACCGAACTGTGAATGGCATGTCATTCAGGAAACATTTGAGATAGCTTATCCAGGACTTTTCATCGGTGTAGAGCTAGAGCACTACCTTGATTGTATAGGATATGGTCCTGTTACGAGCACCTCAAAAGAAGAACGGGAGGCTCAGGAGACATTCGGACAGCAATCGAGGGAGAGAAATCGCCAAATGTTCGAGAGAGTGTACAAACCGTTTTTTAATACGCGCTTGTCCCGTGACATTGTTACGGAACCAGATGGCCAGACGGGGAGAGTGTACTGGAAGGGCTAGCATGTAGACCTGCCCGCCGCAAATCGTCACGACCGTTTGCGGATATAACCCAATCCGTCTCAAACACAGGCATCAGGCATCGCAGACAGTGAATAGTATAAGCTCGGTATTTCGAAGCAAATTCTTGCACATTAGCTCTGAGGATGTACTCAACGACCTCCCAGGCAAAAGTTTCAGCATATTTGGCGTCTCTAGCTGAAATAATACCACGGTCATCCTCAAATAGATCATCAATGCTAAAGGACACGCAGTGATAGATATCTGTGTCAAAGTTATTCAGCTTGAGATTTTTACTGACGCTACTAGAGGATGGGATCCAGTTGCGGCCTTGAAGAAACTGTGGGTGTATCAAGAGCCCAGGAGCAGAATTCCAGGAATACTCCCTTCCCCGGACAAGGCAAGAACGAAAACACGCGATTGAAATTATAGATGCCGTGTTCAGACGTGATTTCTTTGGTTGTATACTATAATCCTGAATCTCGTAGATGAAACAGTATGCCCTTCGCATAGTCCAGCGAGCGATCGTCACCGCGGCCGTTCTCAAGATCGACCTCGTCAAGCATACCAACATCCACGATGTAGCGATTGACTACACCCACTCTCAGAGCTACAGATAGAGCCTCCTTGGTGTCCTCTTTCTTCAAATCCGGAGACGTATTGTCCCAAAAGGCGTCCCAGAATGCAGCCTCCAACACCTGACCCACATTCTTGCCGCCGTACTTATTGCCTGCAGGCATATCGTAGGGAGACCAGTGACCATCTTCCATGTTGCCGACGAACCATTCGTAGAGCGTGACGATGTTCATTCCCAAAGCCTCGATTTGCGCATCATCGAAATCAATCACACCCGTGATACCGCCGGTAATGCGGTCGACGAAGATGTTCAAACCGACGAGATCAGTGTGGGTGAGGACTAGAGGGAGGTCTTGAAGCAGGTGGAGCTTTGGCGTGACGGAGGTGACTTCGGCGTATATATCTGGAGCGATCTCTTTGAGCGACGAGTTCTGTTCGAGTCTCTCGAAGGTGGCGCGAGCGCGTTTCGTTCTGCTGCTATCTTTGCACTCGATTGGTGGATGAGGAAAGTGAGATGATCTAGCAATAAACTGGGCTAGATCGATGATGGTGTTCAGCTCGCGTTCAAGCGGGAAGTGGTCTCGAGAAGGCTCCTGCCAGTAGTGTGCTACCCCGGGAACAATGTCGATGGTGTAGACCGGCAGAGTGAAGCCGCTGTGATGAACCACACGGCTGACAAGATGACCGTAGATCTCCTTGGCCTCGTCGATGAACTTGGTGCAAAGTTCTTTCAACCGGAACTGGATGATATGGTTGCTTTCCGGGCATGCTAGCGTGTAGCTGTGGAATCCCTGGTTGTTGACCAGAACAATCTTCTTCCCCTGCATGAGCGTCTGTGCAAACTCGCGACACTCTGAAGCCGAACAAGTTGTTTTGGCTACTTTCGGGACTCTCAGCTCGAAGAAGTTGTTGATCAGCAGTCGTTCACTCTCATCCCAGCCTTCTGGAAATACAAGTTCCGGGTCTGTCTGCATTTCTTGAGCCATCTAGATCCTTAATGTGTGGTCTGATGAAATTCTGTTCGATCAGAAGTAAAGCCTGCGAGTTGGAGTGATGAGCTGAGGTGATTTTGGTAATTCTTGGCAGCAGGAAAATGATTATAAATGAGACATGGATACCTACAGGTGGCGCAGACTACGCTAGACCCGGCGCTTTTCCCCTTCACTAGCAGTAGGAGTGATTCTATGCCCCAGCGAATAGCAAAAATCTCAGAGGATTAGGGTCCCAACTGTCAAAATAAGGTTCCCAGCCGCCTCCCAGCCACCTGTTGGAACAACCACCTAATTTGTAAGGGGTACAAATACTGGCCCAGGGGAGTCCTGAGATGGAATAAATTCATGCAATCTACATATTACTTATTCTACCATACCTGATATTCTGACACCAACGTTTCCCCGCTGCTTCTAGTAGTTGGGGAAGCAGTCACGGTTGGGAGCCAATGCTGTGGGGTTATCTGCTGCGGGAAAGTTGTTAGCGCCAGCAAGAGACTTAAAGTTCAACATATCTCAGTATGAGAGTGTTATCTTGTTCGATTTCCTGGTGAATGGCGCAGTGAAGGATTAGGTGCATGCTGAAGTCTAGGTCATTAAGCGCTACGGAAGAGCATCCTCCATCCGCTGTCCTCATTTCCTGGCCCGAAGTCTGCGGCTGCAAGCAACGTACCCTTCGTTCGTGCTCAATTCGACGGAAAGCTTCCTCAATGCATCTCCGCTCTCCGTTCTACATACGACTCTTCCATTGTCCGAGTTTCCCCCACTGAGTTTTCATTCATCCGTGCCGATGCCTGGAAAGACATCTATAGCTATCGCCCAGGCCAGACTACCTTTGAAAGAGACGACCGGACATACGGCAAAGCAGTCAATGGTGTGAACACGTTGCTGACTGCGCCAAAAGAGGACCATGCCCGTACGCGCAGGGTGCTTGATCATGCATTCTCGGATAGAGCCTACAGAGAACAGGGGTCCGTTGTGGTAGGTCATGTTGATACCTTGATGATAAGTCTACACAAATAAGCTCGTGGTCAATACCTGGGCAAGGTCGAGATTGTAAAATGGTACAACTGGATGAGTTTCGACATCATCGGAGATCTGGCCTTTGGGCAATCATTCGATTGTTTGAAGATGCAAAGCTACCATCCCTGGGTAGAGATAATCTTCGGCAATCTCAAAGGTATTGCTGTCATGGGGGCTTGCAACCGCACCGCTATTGTACGGCACCTGCTGCCCTATCTCATTCCCAAGCGCCTTGTTCAGATGAAGGAAGACCATCGGGCAGCCACAGTCCAGACCGTCAGTCGTCGTATGGCGCTCGATACCGATGGCCCAGATTTCTTGGCACCCAATATCAAGCACAACAATGAAAAGAAAGGTGGCCTAAACGCGCCCTGAGGTCATGGCCAATATGTCCACATTCATCATCGCAGGCAGCGACAGCATAGCCACAAATCCAGGCTGGACGACCTACTATCTGGTACAGAACCCGAAGATCATGAAGAGACTCAGCGAAGAAATTGAGTCAGCGTTTACATCTGAGGAACAGATAACTCCAAAAAGCGTCTGCGAGCTCCCTTTCATGCTCCGTTGCCTGGCCGAGACCGGTCGTATCTACCCTACTTCTCTGGCTGGCCAGTCTATGGTGGTTCCTCCAGCTGGTGATACCATTTGTGGGAAATGTGTACCAGGAGGAGTAAGTACCCCTGCTAGACAGCGTCCTACGCGGTAAACCTCGTAGCTATATTACATGACAGCGCAGGCGATGGTTAGTCTTGGAGTCGCTGAGGTTCTGTGCCAACGAGTACGCGGACTGTGGTTACTAACAATATGTTCGCGGCGTATCGATCAACCAAGAACTTTGCCGATCCAACCACCTATCGTCCTGAGCGATGGCTTGGCGATCCTCAATATGCTTCTGATGATAGAAGTGTATTTCAGACATTCTCGGTGGGTCCGCGAAGTTGCATTGGAAAGAAGTAAGTAATTCCGCAAGCTTTTCCTAAATTTATATCTCTGATATCAGTCTAGTCTCGGCAATCTCGAAACTCGCCTTGCCCTTGATCGCATGATCTGGAGTTTCGACATGAAGCTCAGCGCAGACACGGACCCTGCTTCGGATGACCAGACGGGTTTCATTCCATACCAGAAGAAGCCATTGATCGTAGAGCTCAGGGTGAAAGAGCGGTCCTCAATAAAGTCCTGAAGCAGCTTCCTTGATTTCCAGTTTGAGGATGCCTTAGAGCCTAATTCCTGGTTTGTCCAAAGGGAATAATGTTATTGACCAAGTTTACTGGTTTGTTGAGCTTGGAATGCAAGCTGATGTAATTACTATCGCATCGAGTGGCTTGGTTATAGCGATTTTGAGGTGTGTAGGTATTCATCCTTTCCTTCACACTGGTGATCGCTGAAAAGCAAGATTGTCCAAATCTCACCTATCAGAGCCGACGTCTATTTTGACTTTCGTGTGGGGTTCCGTATAATCAACATGCACAATGATTGCGTAAGCTTCATGCACTTCGCGCTTCAAAGCTGGCACCATGTGCATGCTACTAATTTGTAGACGTCACTTCCGCCGGTCCCTAGAATACTCGAAGTCCAAGTAGATCGACATCACGTGACGCGATGTGTGATCTGGTCCCCCGAGAATTCCGTTTGCCAACGACGAGGCCGAGAGTTCAGTGATCGCCATATTGTTGGACCTCTTTCTTCGTATGCAATCAATAGATCTCACACATGCGGTAGCTAAGATGATCCCATTGTTAATGTGTTCGCCCTCGAATACTCTCTACGCAATCCTCTGGGCTCTACTCTTGCGCACTCCTCTCACATACAAACTGCCACTCTCTGTCAGAACTTGGCCTCCAATCATCCCTGTCACCGCGTACTTGTGCAACACTTGATTTACTACTGTACATAATACAGCAGAGACTTCTGGAGCAATTGATCCATCCTTTCTGAATAACATCAACAGTCTCTCGGAGCAGGGACGCCATCGAGCAATTAAGCAGACTCGTTGACAGCCGGAGTAAGGCATCCATCTGACGCACCTGTTTGACACCTGAAGAAAAGGGCACTAGCTGCATTTTTGCTTCCCAGAACCTTTAGCAACAAAGCAAAGCTAAACAGCCAGAGCGCATGAAAAAAAAAGCGACGTTCGGGATACAGTATTGAGAATAACGCCGTGGACCACGAACAAGAGCAGGCTCAATGAAAAGCTGCGAAAGTCGATACATATCGACAGTCGCAATTCAAGAAATCGGAAAGTCACAAGGAAGGAAACCGAGATATGTCTGATGATACTTCAATGACGAATTTCAGGATTCCAGCGGGGCACCAGGGGGTATATGACATCAACGCAATGGTTTGCAATGTGTTTACCGGTTTTGACAGCACACTGAACTTTTCAAGACCTTGGTGACAAAAGACAGAATACCAAGCTCGTTCCAGGGACCAGCCGCGGAATCTAGATGGTACGGACTACTTTCACTCTTCATTCGTGGCTTCTGAGCCTAGTATGTTGAAGACCCGACAAGCTACGTGCGCGGATCTCTGCAGAATTTATTATAGGATCGCATTACCGTTGCTTTTTGAAAGTCACGCCTTTTCGCATGTCGCCTAGGGCGAAAGTGGCGATATCCGCCTCAAAGTGAGCTGTTTCGTAGACCAGCGTCTTCCTTTTACAATTGCGTTGAAGCTGGATTGGCTTTTGGCATGTCATGGGTGAGAGGTCTGTCTCCCAGTATTTGCGGCCAGCAGCGAAATTAAACACCTTCCTGATAGTTCAACTTTACTGTTCTTATTTGGTCTCTACCATTCTGAGTCCCTTACCGGCTAATGGCACAAGAAACACACTCCCGAGCCTCGTTCTTCCGGTGAAGTAAGCCAGCAGGAGTATCTATTCCACAAACAGCCTTATGCTGATTCTTGAACTTCTCAGCGCCTCGACGCTTGCTGCTCCAGACCGTCCTCCTGGGTTCGAGGTAGAGATCCATTACGATACAAGCAAGCCTTTCGGCCCTCTGGGAGTGTATCTATGTGCCATTGACTGCATGTATCACTTCGCACAGATAGGATGGCATGAGGCGCTCGCTGGGGGCTTAACAGTCTGGGTGGATGGCTTCGACGTGGAGATTGACGTTGAATCCGAGCAAGGGCCAACTGGTCCACTTAAGCTGGAAACCAGTAACATCATCCAGGGGCTCTACGAGACAATGTTGGATGTCTCTGCTGGTTCCCATTTCTGTGAAGTGCTTACGACGCTCTCGCTGCACAGAAGGCAACTTGGTACTTTAGTCATAGAGAGGAGAGCACCAAGGACACTGGAGAAGGGTAGTGCCAATACTACGAATACAGGTCTCACGAAAGCATCCGCACAGGGCAACACTGTGACCTACCCTTCGGGCTATATCACTGATTCCAACGATCATAGTTTCTCAACGTCCTACACCTATTCCGGCACCCGTATCAACAGTAAGGATGTGTTCCTAGCTGTCCTCGATGCTCTAGCAACCGCAGCGCAATTCTCTCCAAGCACCCCTTTTAGATCTCTCACCGCACTCAGCGCGTCCGGCAACTGCGTTATCAACATAGTTGAAGTCGACAGCCAATTTCAGGTGAATTACAGCTTCGTCACAAAAGCGCTGAGAGTCATGGTACTGGACATCATGGTCACATTACGAAACTTTGGAGAGGTGACGTTCCAGTTGAAATGGAAAGCCTTGAATATTGCAGAAGGGTCAATTCAGCTAGCGGGTCAAAATAAAGCGCGATAGACACGTAGAATCTCGTTGCGTTAACACGTTGAGAAGCTTTATTGGTGCCACTGCTGCCAATCTGGAGGCAAAGGGATCAGCAGTATACTAATCTAACTACTTCGAGTCGGGCCATTTGCAAGAAGTGACCATGACGCAGCTAGAAGGAACATCATGTCCAGTCATGGCGAATTGATCAATGCTCCCAATAGTCCGCCCCCAATATCTGGACTATTAGTCGGACTGGTCCATGGACTAGTCCACAGTGGACTGGTTCAAATACTTAGAAATTATTCTTATTAAATATAATGAAAGAAATTCTCTTATTTCTATAGTCGAATAGACTAAATCGCGAATAATCTTCTTCGTAGTTTAAGGCTATTTTAATAACTTATCGAATTATATCCTATATTTGGGTGAAATTTGGGGTAGGGGTATGATTCAGTAAGGATCCCTACTTTCGGGGTATGAATTAGTAATTCGCCCTTCGGGGCTTGGTGGCTAAAGCCCAGCCGCCCAGGCTTGTTGAGGCTGCCGGAACACTTTTCAATGAGTTCGAAGCCTGAACAGCATCGAATACAGTCAATTTCTCATGTTTTCTGGAAATGTGATACATAAGAGACGCGTCTTTGAGGAGTGCAATCTGAGTTGACCTGTCAATTCAAACACCAAACCGGATCTAGAAAACCCCGCAAGTCGCCATGTTCACCCCACTTTCTACAAGCGCTCGATCTACGTCGCTCGCATTTGGGCATCTTCCACCGCTATCCTTGGTGCTCTTTCAACTCCTTCTATAATTACCCATCATGGCTTCCCGTACACACCTTGATGCTTCATCCCGAAAGAGCCCCTGCGAGATTCAACCGACAGAAATATACTACGGTACAAGCAAAGACATCGAACCACCAGTCAAGTTCCGAATCGCCACAGGCGGAGCCGGTCAATCTGGCCTCCTCAAAGCCTTGGCGGAAGCCTTCATTCACGATCAAGTGAGCGAGACAAACTGCCCGCCCTTCGCCGTATCCTGGATCAAATCCGACACCACGGCATCTTTCAACCACCTCGCCGACGATACCGCCGATCTAAGCATCACATACAACGCGGCGGCGGAGCAAATCGCGATAGCGCAGGGCATCGCAGACAAGCACGTTTACGCGTGGCGAGACCACTTTCTGCTCGTCGGTATGCACATCTACCTATAGCCGTTTATTGCCCAAAACGCTCGTATCTCACCAGGACAACGAAAGGACCGAAGACCAACCCTGCAAATCTTACCATCTCCCCAACCGCCACCATCGAAGCGCTCTTCTCCCAGTTGTTCATCGCCGCCATCGCCTCCGACAACACTGTGCGCTTCCTCTCGCGGTACGACAAATCCGCCACCAACATCAAAGAATCCGCCATCTGGACCTCCATTGGCCAGACACCGTGGTCCTACCCCTTTTCCTTCTTCTACCACATCAACCCTGACTTTCCCTACCAAGCACTGGCGACGGCTGCGAAGCTGCAGGAGTACACGCTCATAGATCGCGGCACCTGGTACGGAGTTGAGCCGTGGATCAGAGAGCATATGAAGATATTCGTATGACAGCGAACCGCCTAGTCTCTATGAAGGCGGATTGTACTGACCAAGGTCCAGATGGAGGGTAAAGACGACGACAAGACCGACATCCTACTGAACCCTGCCCGGGCACTCGTGGGTGCGTATGGCGAGAACAAGGCCATGGCGGACGCTTTTGCGGAGTGGATCTCCAGACCTGAGGGCGGTCAGAAAGTTGTGGGTGATTTTGCGGTGGATGGTGTTGTGCTCTACACGCAAGCTCCTCTAGAGATCCCGAGCGGACTGTGAGCTTGGATACCTGCGATGGCACTTCTGCTGGTTGACGAGTCTGTGAGATTTCAACAAGCTCGGAGCATAACCGGCAGTGAAAGAAAGAAAATCATGTTCTCGATAGCATAACAAAGTGATGTTTCTCGCTATGAGCACCGATCTAGTCAAAATGTTCCTGTGCTCGACCTCATACTGTGAACATTTACTAGTTCCTTGGAGGTCATTTCTGATGTGTGGTCATTAAATATAATCTCCCGTACAATCAGACGCATTGAATGGATTCTAAGGATTAGTGTTTGGCTAATACATAACATCCCAACCACCTAACTCCCCCACAACCACCGCCATAGCCTATGAACCCAACCTCTGCATCGCGACCTAGAGATCATGCCTGAACTCCACGTCTTCCTTCCCCGCCACAAACAACACCATCTCATACCTCGCCACCGCCGCAATCATCCTAAAGACCTCCGCGTTCGCCAACTCGACCCCCTCCCAAATCCATGCTGAATCTCTGCAACCCTTTCCCCTGCACCCTCACCCACCTCTCCGGATTCCAACCCCAGGGGTCCGGAAAGACAGTTTCATCCGTATGGATGCTCAACGTGGTCATGCTGACGGGAGTACCGGGCGGAATCACGTATCCCGCATAGTGCAAAGTTTCGCTGGGGACGACGGGGGCGTTGCCGCCCGTGAGGCCAGAGGCGAGGCCGTTCCCCTCATTGCAGACGGCGGAGAGCTAGGGGAGGCGTTGGAGGCCGACTCCAAGATCTTCTTTTTACACTATACTCGATTTACCTACCGAAGATAGTAAATACTGACATGAATCATGAAATCAAACATTTCAAAGGGACAGCACTAGGTTGACTAAAAGTGTTGACCTCATCGGAAAAGGTGTCTTCCTAATTCTCCGATCTTTTCAGTGCATTTTCCCTCATGAACAACAGCAGGTGTCTTTGGGTTCATACCCAGATACTGACGCCATTGAAAAGATATACTCTCTTCTCCAAGCTCCTTCTATAGTGTCTTCATCCATATAAGGTCGATGTGTGAAGGTCGATACTTCTGGAATAACATGAATAGTAACATTTTCAATCTGCTATCCGTATACAACATATCAAGCTCTTTGGACAATCGCCGATTTTGTGATTCTATCTTCAACGACTATAATTTGGGATTGATGCCTAGAATCGACGCAAATACAATAGAGTCCGGCGCCGGAAACCGTCTATTACTGAGAATTTGCCTATCTCGGATGCTCATTTTTTGATAGGGTCAAATCCCCGGCCTTGATCAAGACCCTGATATCTATCGTGGTGTACGGAGTCGCTCGAGAACCCAAAACCGTATGGTCCCCCTCTCACGCAATTTAATCAACAATCTTCAGCACAGCATCCTACCATCGGCTTGATACAGTTCCAAATACAGACCAAAGAGCCCTACCTCCCACAGAAGCCTCCGTCAACAACATCTATTTCACCACTGACAAAATCACTATGGGTCCATCACCCCCCGCGAGCGAACCCTCCAATTGACATCCCATCCATATTCTACGCCCGAATAAGAGCGGCAAACACATACCTGCCTCTACCAGCGAGATCTACGGCCGCCGCCGCCAAATCATGCGGACGACCCCACCTCCCCGCCGGCACCCTATCCAGAATCATCCTCTCCCTCTCCTCCGAATACCCTTTCGTCAACCCCGTCTCGACATACCCCGGCGCCAACGCATTAACACAAATCCCTCTCTCCATCCACTCATTGAACCTGACGGCGGCGTCCCGCTTATCATCCGGGAACGTGACCGCGGGGGCCCGGCGCGCGATGCCGCCGCAGCTGACCAAGATATCGACCTTGCGGCCCTCGGCGACGCAGATGTGGGAAATGATGGCGAGGACGTCGGTGCGGACGGGGAGGTCGCACTTGTATATCGTGCAGGAGCGACCCGAGGATTCTACCGCCTGTCGGACTTCGATACCGGCGGAAGTGTCGCATTGGAGGAGGATAATATCTATGCCTGCGGATGCACTGAATGTCGGATTGTAAAGTGTTAGCTTCTACGTAATCATCCGGTCTGAATTTCTTTCGTCGAATCGAATGCCGCTGACGAGACCGAACGACTTACAGCGCTGTCACCAATGCCGCCCCTATACCACGTGTGCCGCCCGTGAGAAGAGCAGTCTTGTCTTTGAGTTCGAATGGAGAAGCGAGATAGATAGAACTCTGGTCCCCCTTGTTAGCTGCGTGTCGCTCTTTAGCGCTGTTCTCAGGATGCGGCTGATAGTCTATGATCGATGAGCTTTTACAACATTAAGAAGCGGTCGGAAGTTTGTCAGCGAAGAGATCTCTCGGCCCGTGTCAGATCATCCTATGATCTTTTATTATCTTACTGACCATGGAGTGACTACGTCTTGGCTTCTGGAATCTCGTGGATGCGGAATTCTCTCCTAGGCTTCAACTTGAGTTAATTGTAAGATGAGTCCTCTCCTGGTACTAGTTCCCTGTTGGAAATGTGTGAAGGATTCTTTGATTAAGTAGTCATGAGAGTGTTGAGTGAAGGCTACTTATCCCATCGTCTGGCGCCTGGGGGGTAAAATGTCTTGGCAGAACATCAAATATCTGTATGTTCATCACACAACGACTTTTGAACAACAAGAATCACAGACTTATTTTCTATTATAGAATCTTAGATGTACTTATAAAGATTAATCGGGACACTAAGTATTTTGTTGTGAAAGCAGGCGTCATTGAATTACACTAACATGCTATGGGGGTGTTTTTTGATGTTCGGTCGGAACCCCTGAATTTTACCCCCTGCCAGACGATGGGATAGAACATATCCAAACAGAAACCCATTGACTAAGATCCCAAAAACATCTTCCTTCGTCCTCTCAAAAATGCAACTCCAAAGTAGCTCGGTTTTCCCATAAACCAGCATGGCGGGTGCAACTCGGACTGCGATTTTCTCTGCAGCACCCGAGCTCGATCGTGAAGGTCAGACTCTAAGATCCTTCCCAGCAGAAGCAGCACCAAAGACCAAAGTAGATGCTAGACACCACATAGACGGCGAAGTCAACGGCGCTTCGAGTGCAGAAACAATTTCGAATGGCGATACAGCCGCACATTTACAGGTAAATAATACAGGCAACGAGGCGTCAACCGCACCTATTTCGAGCACGGAAAAAGCTATCGCTGAGAACGACGTGAACGATCACCGAGAGGCCCCAACAGCACCAAACACAGGCGGTGATCTACCGCCACAAGACATGAAAACCCATCATGAACCAGCTCTTGTCGCCGAGAGTGCCAATGGCCACGTCACCGCGACCCCGAATCCCCTCGTAAGCGATGACATCAGGGAAGATGCTGTCATTAGAGCTCGTAACGGCAATTTCTCCACAATGCCCACTCCTCTGACCGAAGGCCACCAGGATGAACCGATTGGCGCGTCCATTAAGAGGGACCAACTCGATGATGTTTAGTCCCCAGCCACCAAACTCAAGCACCGTCTGAGGGACACACAAGACTTGATCGTCTGCCTTGGCGTCTACGATGGATTCTCTGCCCGCATTGCGCTGTCGGTGGGCTTCGATGCCATGTATATGGTATGACTTCGCTCTCTTGAACGGTTGAAATGAAGGATGAGGGCTGACCGTCGTGTAGACAGGTGCCGGAACCACTGCCTCGCGGTTGGGCATGGCAGATCTAGGCGTAGCCAGCCGCACCGACATGAAGGAGCATGCGGACATGATAGCGAACTTGGATCCTAGCAAGATCCTCATAGCTGACATGGACACGGGTTACGGTGGTACAAATTTCCCGTCTTCCCCGTTCCGTGATTTCTTTCTTCTTCTGATCCGCGCATCCAGGCCCTATCACCATCACGACGACCGTCAACCAGTACATACGTGCCAACGTTGCAGGCTTTCATATCGAAGACCAGCTCCTTACGAAGCGCTGCGGCCATCTAGCCGGGAAGAAGGTTGTCTCTCAAGAAGTCTACCTCTCACGCATCAGAGCCGCCAAAGCAGCCAAAGACAAAGCACGCTCGGATATCGTCCTGATTGCAAGAACTGACGCGAACCAACAACACGGGTATGACGAATGCCTCACCCGATTGCGCGCTGCTCAAGATCTTGGCGCGGACGTCGGTCTGCTGGAAGGCTTCAAGAGCAAAGACGAAGCGCGCCGGGCAGTACAGGATCTCGCGCCATGGCCTCTGCTGCTGAACGTCGTTGAGAATGGTCACAGTCCTTTAATCACCGTAGATGAAGCGAGGGACATGGGTTTCCGGATCATCATCTTTTCCTTCGGAACCCTGGTCCCAGCCTATTTGGCGATCAAAAGCGCATTTGAGAGGTTGAAGGTCGAAGGGATTACAGGCGTCCATGAAACAGAGATTAGTCCAAGGTGTATTTTTGATGTCTGTGGCTTGGAGGAAGCGATGGAGGTTGACGAAAATGCTGGAGGAGAGGACTTTAAGGGCGGTGTCTGAGTCAAGTCTCCCTGCATCGGTTGGCGTTACGTGTAGCTCGCCAGGAGATGCTGTACTTAGGGTTCTAGGTGTCTCAATTTTTCAGCTGCTGTGGTCTAAACCTATTCCCGGTGACCAAGGGCGTCCTCGTGGAATCCGGCTGCCATCAATCTTTGTTCAATGTCTCGCACCCAGTTCATTGACGTCTGCAGCAGTATCTCCACGTTTGGATCGCGATTTCTATTACTCGTATCTCGAACAGGTCATGAGCAAGTCCTCGCAATCAGAACCCAGGACGTGTTGTATTGTAAATATGACAGAAAACTTTTGCCAATATAACCTGCTGAGAGGGCTAATTACTAATTCATACCCCAAAACTATGAATCCTTACCGAATCATACCCCTACACCAAAATTTGGGGTATGATTCGGTAATTTGTCATTGCTTGGGGTATAATTTGCCATTCATGATAAAAATCGCAGAGGAGAGGTTCCGCGACCTGGGCCATCTCACCATAGAAATAAGGGGATATCTCCGACCGTATTTAATGGGTGATCTACCAGCTTAGACACATTAGACGAAAGCCGAGTGGGCTAAATTTGGCCTCCCAGCCTGTCTGCACCCAGCCTGTCTACACCCAGCCTATAGCTCTCACACACACTCGTAACTCCACTTCTAATAGCCTAGCCTACACAGGCGTAGACACCTAGATTACAGTCTTAATAGGTAGCATAGGCATAGGCACCTAGCTGCATCTATCAGTAGGCCATTCAAATAAGCCACTATGGCAAGTTTGGTAAATTATCGAATCATACCCCAAGCGATGGCAAATTACCGAATCGTACCCCTACACCAAATTTCACCTAAATATGAAATATGATTCGATAATTTATCATTACTTAGGGTATAATTTGACGAGGGTCTTAAATAATAGTTTTTCGAGATGAGAGTATTTAATAAAGATAATAATAGTGATAGGCTTACTGAGCGTCTAATAGTAGTCGTCGATTTAATTATTAAAAACGGTAGTATTTACGCTACTGGCGGGGTTCAACCCCCGAAGCTTACCCCGCCCCACCCCGTTGCGTAGCGAAGTAATATTGTAAGGAATTATTCCTTCGGGGGCCCTACGGGGCCTTACTGGGCCTACGGGACCCGAATAGAGGTGTCTATAGTGTGAAGTGCGGATACCTCCGGGCATAGCTTTCTAGACTAGCGGTAACTCGAATTAGTCGAAATTTCGCTTACTCGACTTTCGTCTGATGTTTTTAGGGCCCCTTCGGTAACCACATATTTTCAAAATATGCCAACATATTTTCAACTTAGCGTACTATTAATACACGGTTACGTTCGGTAACCATATTTTCACTTGCCAGGCCACATTGCACATTGAAAATATGTAAATTATGGGTTGACCCATAATTTGAGGCCCAATGTGCGCTAAGCACACAGAAATAATGGACATTTATGACTGCAATAGCGATATTTTTCATTTTCATGACTGGTAGCCACATTTCATGACTGCAAAACCTGTAGCTATATTTCAGTCATGGATGACTCTCTATTTGAAGAGGTAGCTGCAAGTGTCGTTCTTACTGCTGCTCAGTACTATTCTTCTCATTATGACAAGCAAATGCGGAGAACGTCTATTCTATCTGGCTATGCCTATACCAAAGAAATCCTTAATGGCCATTCTGCAGTGCAGCAGTAGCAGGTATGTCAGCCATAAGACTGTTGAATGGTAGGTAGGAAGTGCCTAGAAAGAATTTTTCGACTATCCTACATTCGATCCTTACTCAGCGGGATTATAGGGTTACCGAACGAAACCGTACCTATATTTTACATATTTTCAAGTGTCTACTAGTGCTGTTTTGAGCCCACATTCATTTGCCAAGAGGTGGGGTAATATATGTTGGCATATTTTGAAAATATGTGGTTACCGAAGGGGCCCTTAGGCTGATAGAATTCTCATCAAATGCGGTCGAAGAAACTCCCTTATTTCTATAATCGAATAAGCTAGATCGCGGATTATCTCCTTCGTAGTTTGAGGCTACTTTGATAACTTACCAAATTATACCTTAAGCAATAGAAGGATTCGTACTTTCGGGGTTAGACTCGGTAATTTGCCCCCTGCTGAGATCATCGGTGCGAAAGAATTCAAACTGGCCAATAATGCCTAGTAAGTGTATCCAAATATAAAGGTTTGAACATATCACGCCCAACTCGGCGGTCGCAGCACTCAAATTACATTGTGTCCTCGTGGGAGGGTAACCGACTATCATTGCGATATAGTCCCAGCACTGGCATCCCTGGCTTTCTCTCTTCGGTTAGCGGCAAGCTTGTTGCTAGTCCTTCTCTTCATTCAGAAATGGACTACATATCTACCGATAATTTCTGGGCGCATATTATCATACTATCTATCACACGAGGCTCCCGAAGATCCAAACCACCAACTGTGACACTTTTGACCCCTGAGCTTCTGGGTCCCTCCGCTGAAGGCAGAATTTGGTTGAGGATTTGGGTAGCGCAAGGAGTATTCCACGTACGGTCGAACCGCTTTCTGTAAAGAGACTCGTTGTTAGCTAGCGAGGCAAGACCGTTGCGAACGTGCAACCGAGACCTCTGGTCGGAGCGGAATCTAAGTTTCGTATCATGGGCTTTTGTCGGAAATTGGACAGCGGTAGTGTCACTTTTGATGTTTAGTGCCCGCACAATGGACATTCTTCTTGATGACTTTGCAGTCTTGTGCTAGCATCATTCATCTTCGAAAAAGCGGTAACCAGGACAGCAGAACCAACATGCTGGGTACATCCAAACTGTGAGATTGCAATCAGTCTGTGCCACGGTGCGGGGTCCATGCTGATCAGGAGGATGCCGACCCCCTGCGCAAGTGCATGATAATGGTGTGTGCGGCCGTTCGCTAGGCTTCCCGCTGACAGCTCCAACTCCAAGTTCTGGAAATTGTTCGATAGGACAGGAGCCAGATGGTAAGGCCAACCGAGCTCCCAGCCAATAATCATTGGGGCGGGACGGTGGGAACTGCCACGTGGGCCACGAGGCCCAGAGCCCCCAAATAAAGATGATAACGCTCGAGATGGAGACGATTGGAGTGCACACCTCGTGATGACCGTGCCACACACTTAGCTCCGGGACCCTGGGAATCACAAAACTTGATTGACACGAAGATCGATTCCCCAATCCCCCTCTCATCTTCGCCAGCCCATATTGACCCTCTTCCCATCTGCCTCCCGAGTCTGCTTTTTCCAATGCTCTTTCGGTGAGGCTTTGACTTCGTGCGTCGTCTGGTGAACGCTGTCGTTGTGTCGATTTGTCGCTTTGCTTGCCGCTGAGATGGCTTTCTTGCCTCGAGCCATGTCTAGCCCCACAATTCCTACCGCGGCTGAGGATCCTACGCTTTACGCCAACCGCGATGGCCAAGTCATCAGCGCCTCGGTGACCCTGCTTGTTCTCCCAACTGTTTTCGTCGCTTTACGCGTCATGTCACGATACATGTCTGGAGCTGGGTTTTGGGTATGCTTTATCCAGTCGCATTGTCCGTAACGTGATGCAATTAGCGCAGGAAAGGAATTGACATCTTCCAGTGGGATGACATGACTGTGGTACTTGGAATGGTAGGTTGAAATCTCAGAATGTTCGGAGCTTGTTGTCAGAATTGCTCAGAACTTACAATGCTGCAGATGCTCTCCTGGGGTCCGAATATAATCAACATTCTAGGCATGAAGCACCACGTAAGAATGATCAGTACCATTTCTGATAACGCCCGCAGCCTCTCATCATTCACTGGGACATCATACCGCCGTGCTATCCCAAGCAACCCTGATGTCTTTCTATCAACACCTCTATGCTTTTGAAATACTATACTCGCTCGGCATAGCTTGTGTGAAGTTCTCAGTGTAAGCATTGGTGCATCCGTATAGCTCGGATTCTACAAGCAGCTTGCCTGACAGTCCTCCGTTACAATAAGTATTCTATTCCAATACCGAATCTTCCCGATCCTTTCGTTCCGGCGCATCATCAGTGCTTGCGGTGCCTTCGTGCTGGCATTTGAGGTCGCATCCACCGTCGTTTTCATCCTCGAATGTACACCTATTCACGACTTTTGGGTCACTTTGGGCGGCTATCTCGCCCCAGAGCTCGGCGGTCGATGCATCAATCTTGTCAAATTCCTGCTGGTAAATGGCTCCATCAATACAGTTACGGATTTTGCGCTCTTACTCACGGTGGGTGATGGCTCTCCAGGGGATCGTGGCGTTGCACTAATGCGAGCAAAAGCCCTTGCCAATACTCTGGCGTCTGAGAGCAAGCACGCTGCAGAAATATATCCTGACCGGCATCTTCATCTCTGGTTTAGTGTAAGCAGAACCACCAATCTTTTCTTGTGAATATCTGGGACTGAAGATGTACTTCTAGTGTCACTGCAGTGAGTATGGTACGGCTAGTCGTGATAGCCCAATACCATGGAGACGATGTTACTTGTGAGTGACTTCCACCTGAGGCCCGCCCCCTCACATTAAGGCCCCGCAATTCGCTAACACTACCCACCAGATGACTTCGTCCCAACCTGCATCTGGACAGCCGCCGAGCCCTCAATAGCCGTAGTATCCGCCTGTCTCCCCTCGCTACGCCCGCTCTTCGTCCGCGTTGTCTGGGGCCGCGCTCAGAGGCCTATCGTCGAGCAAGACGACTACTTCGGCCCTTCCAACCAGTTAACCCCGACATGGCGCAGCGGCAGCAAAGCACACGACCGATGTTTCAACAGGCTGCCCGATAGCGGGAAGGTCACGCTTGGCTCGTGGACCAATAATGTCGCTGTATATGGAGGCAAGGGAGTGCAAGAGACTGAAGAGGAGATTTTGGAGCTGGGTAGTCCCCGGGAGGATGAGATGGAGACCCCGATGAATCGTATCAGGGCGAAGACAACGGTTGTGCTCACGATTAGTGAGAGGGTTGATTGGCAGGATGATTTGTTCTGAAAGAGAAAAGGGATACAGGCTTTGGGTGGACTTTTTTGGGGGGAGTTCCTACATGTTAGTCTCGGAATCTGATAAAAGGACGAAAATCGCCTGTATTCAAGAAGAAGTCTTCGTAACGAACCAATCAGATCCTTAGATGCCGCATCAACTGCGCAGTGATCACGTTCGCAAAGATTCGACGCTGCAGTCACATCAGTTTTAGGATCACAATGGTACTGAGCCGAGGGTCGCATCACATGAAGCACTGTAGATCCTCATGTGAAGGGCGATGCAAGACGCTGGACGGAGGATGCGTCGATGGAGTGGCCAGAAGAGCCGCAATTGTCTCTTTGGCTTTGGGATTTGGAATTTCTGCATGTCTACAGACTAGCTCTATGGGTACTAGTGTAACTTCACTCACATCTACCGAACGTCCATTGATTCCCCTTGCATTCTCTCAAAAAGAACAGAATCAATCTCTTTTAACACCCGGTCTCCCTGTGTTGAAAGACCGCAACATCCAGCTCCCTTTCTGTTCTGCAACAATTCCGTAGCCACAACAGAATACGCCAACTTCGGGGCCGCAAATCTTGATGGCTTCGAATCCAATTAAAACAACGAAGAAGAGATCTGCCATCCGCAAAACCCACATGCTTTAGAACGTTTTGGACCAAGCGTATCTGGGCTCTCATGACGCTGCCCAAAGGCCTACCAAAGAGTGGAGCCCTGCCATATACTCAGATAAAAACGGCCAGAGGTGCCTCTAACCTTGCCGAACAGGCAAAATGATCCGACCACAAATCACTCATTACTTCAGCGATACAAGATCATGTCCATTTATGGACTTACCATGAGAGCTACGGTGTATCACGTACAGGTTCCTGCTTCCGGCAGATTCTGCAATCTATGCGAAAGACTTCTTGATCCTTAGGAACATTAACTCCCTTCACGTTCGCCTTATCCAGTGATACCACAGCTATAAATTCCTAATCTAAGCCGACGCTTAAGTCTATTATAGATATCCATCTTCTCATTACGTGGGAGAGACCAAATCCGCTTCGTATGCAATAGTGGGCAGAGCCGAAAAGTTTGAAATGCAGAGACCGACCACGACTGAACTCGGGCGCTCGTCGAAGCTGCCCGTAAGGATCATATTATTCTTCCGGGCCTTGTCCCAAAAGGGTTTGTTGCAGACTTGGTTTTGAAAACTGAAACAACATCAGCAGAGACCTTCGATCTCTATCGTCAATGCAAAAGGCTTGGGGACATTCCCCAAAAGCTGGCTATTCCGACATACTGAGTGAGCCGCGATCAACCCGAGAAAGTCACAACCCCCATATTTGATACCCCCGCCAGTGAAAGTGATGGCGGTGTAGAGCACACTCCTGGAGAAACTACTGCGAAAGGAAATGATGGTGATGACATCGTTACATCGACCATGGAGGGACCGAGCGCGTTTGGGGATGTTGCTCCCAACTTCGTTGCTCATTTCGGGGTAGGATGTCACCTTCACGGAACACCTAATCATACCCCGAAATTTGGTGTGGGGTATGATTTGATAAGGATACCATCATTCGGAGTATGATCCAATAATTTGCCCGCCTCAAGAAATGCGAAACCAGCTCTATCAATATGTCCTCGGCGGTTGATTCTTACACGTCAAGTATGAAGGAGACTATCAGGAGTGGATGCCAAGAAGCGAGAAGATTACCTACCACATTCTGATGGTAGAAACTGCTAAGTGAAATGAATATTCGAAGATCGGTAGCAGGGTTTGTGAAGTGAAGCGATGATCAATACCCCAGGCTTTCAGACAAGCCGTGAAGCCACAAACGCGACAACGTTTTCCAAATTTACTTCTAAGAGGTGCCTTCATCAATGACAAATCGTAAGTTAACGGCGCTCAAACCACATTCAAAACTCAAAATCGAGCCGATTTCAGCACTCTTTGTTCTAGTGAAGCAACTTCATCTCCTTTTGTCGCTTGACGGACTCGGCGAACAAAGGGGCTTTACTTCTCTATTTTCGGAACAACTCTCGGATTGAATCTGAACAAGCCCATTTCCACCCTTTACGGAGGGGACAAACAAACAGACAAACAAACCCGGGACCATCTCAGTGCTTAAGAGACATCATCACCGCGATGTTTGGTTACGTACGTACGTTACCTTAGAATCCCAGATTGCAACTAAAATATTTTTTAACATTCTCTTTTCTCTTCCAAATCCGCTTCCATCATGAAACCCTCATATTTCCTCGCCGCCACCATGGCCATTTCAAGCGTCTCCGCGCATCCCGCCCACATATACAACGATCAACCCAGCCGACGATACCTACCATCATCTCCGTAAACAACCCCTCCCTCCCCTCCTCTCCCTCAAGATCCCCATCTAACACCCCTCCCAGCCCAACCCTCCCAACCTCCCAAAATGGTGTCCTGCCGAACGGCACCATCATCAACGCCTCCACTAACTGGACGAAACCCAGCGCCATCATCCCCAGCACCAGCACCGCCTTCAACTACACGGGCCCCTGCACCATCTACGTCGTGCAAGCCGGCTACGGGGACCCGGCCACGTACTCCGCCTGGGCACGGGACGCGTCCGACGCCGCGATCGGGGACATGGGGGTCCGCAAGATCGGGGCGACTGCGGATTTCGCCGTGGGAGGGGGGAAGATGAGTTTTGGGACGATACCGCCGGCTTACGAGACGGAGCCTGCGAAGGTGGTGATGAGCTGGGAGGCGTGGGGCATGCCTGCGATTGCGATGTTTTTTGAACCGGTGTTGAGCGAGGGGAGTGCTGGGTGTGCGTTTGCGGGGGATGCGGACGGGGATGAGGTGACGTATTTTGAGTGTACGTTTGGGTGTAGTCCCCAAGGGGATTCGTAGATGCTCTTTACGCTTTTCATGCGCAAGGGTGTTCGTGACGATATGGGGATCTTGGTGGTCTCTGAATAAGTGTGTGGTGACAAAGAGTTGATGCGCATAAAGCTAGAACGAATGAAGCGGTGCACAAGTGAATCCACCTAAAGTCTAAGGAGGCGACCTCTAACTACTTAAGTACTTTCTTGTGATAGAAGGGTCCAGATTACAGCGACTATGACTTCTTTATTTCCATAACCAGCTTCCGATTATCTCCTGAATTTATCGGTAAGCTATTGTTCGTACGAAACTAAACAGCACTCATTCAGCATCGACTCACCCAAAAAGCGCGCTTTGCCCGCCCTCCCACCCCTCGCACACATGCCATCCAAAGCAACAGCGGCCTGCCATAAGTCAAACCACGAAGCCGCATCATCCGGCGCGGTCGTATCAACAGTAATAGAGCATTGCCCAGTAGCTAGAGAACACGCAGCAGATTTCAGCAAAAAGAACCTTTTCATCGAAAGCAAAGGGCAATGATGCTCACGCTCCGTCAAAACCTGCGGGAGGTGTTCTTCGACGCCCGCGATGCCAACAGCCCCAAAAGTCGTCTGTTCGATCGAAACGTTCATGGTGTCGAGAATCGTCTGACAAGAGGCCGACACAGGGCGTGTTGCCAGCGGGGTGTTCGAGCACCTTACGAAAGGTGGGGACCAGGATTGCATGAGCAAGACGAAATTGAGTTCATCCGCTGATCATGGGTCAGTAGACATCATTCTCTATCACTGTGTGTGATCGAGGATTCGCAAACCAACTTACCCATGTCGAAGACTACGCCGCCCTCTGTACGGACACTTAAGTCAGCAACGTTCCAAAAGAAGAATCTAAATCGACCGACAAGTTACAGGGATACCCGGAACTCATTGTTCCTGGGACCTATCTCAAAAGTCGAATGTAGAAGTACATTGACACACAAGAAAAAACCTAACTGTACGTACTAGGAGGTATAGCTTTCTCCACGCACTCTTGCTGGATGATAGTCGCGGCCCCAAGCAAGTCGTCATTCCTCACATGTGAAGGGTAAGACGTCTGAATAAGATCGATAATGCATTGCCCATCCGCTATCGAGCATCAGCCAAAAGATAAAAAACCAACCAGAGGCACTGAATCGTGACCCGGCATCAAAAGGTGCTTACAGCCAACGTATCGTTTCGGAAGGTTGACATCCCAGGAACCCTTGCCGCGCGGTCCGTAGCTACGCTCAGGGTCCGTGATGATAGTGGCTGGATCTTGCGGGATCTGAGCCAGAGCGTCCTTGCAGCTAGCAGCCGGGGGATTGCCAAAACTGCGATCATCGCAGCTAACCTTTGCCCAGGTGAGGATGGGCATGGTATTCGAGTTCTCTGATCCGGCAGAAGCGTTCAAGGATGGAAGAAGCAACGAGGGTTTCGTCAGGGTGATTGAGCCGTCGCGAATTTGCGGTGGATGCAAGGCTAGCGAAATCACGAAGGTCGGGAGCAGGTAATATGTTGCTAAATAAGAGAACAAGGATGACATGGTCAAAAAGTTGCGTTCAAAGATGGGAAACGGAACCTAGAAATGTTAGTGAGGGGTCGGGCACGAGGTGAAACACTGAGCAACACGAATCTAATAGTCCAGGGACTTTTTCCACGACGGCTAGGTTGTTTGAAACACTTTGATTGTGGGCCTGTGCTTCTTTTAACTCCACTGCGAAGCTGCTTGGATGCGCTTTACTTGCACATACGTCGGTCATGCGATTGGCGGCTATAATCGTATGCGTTGCTGGAAGTTTGGAGCGCATCATGAAGATTGTGACTATTAGCGATGGGAATAATATCTGCAAAGGCTTCACGTGTGCAGTGAGGCGTATGTTTGTACCGGAGACTTCTTTTCCGAACGCGGGATTACGAAAACGAGATACCTACAACAATTATTATTCATCAACAGGAGAGTTATACCAAACAAGAAGATTGATGGAAGAAGCAACCTTGCAGTGACAGTAAGTCCGAGACGACCGTCTCAGCTCCCCCAGCCACCATTTGTGAAAAGTATCCCTCTTCTCTTTCATCTCTGCTAATCCTCGAAGAGTGATCATTTCCCATTAAAATAATTAACATCATGAAAACCTTTTGACACGCAACGTGGGTCAGCGCAGAGAACACTAACCTCAGACAAACCTCGAGAGCCTCCACTCTTCACAAATATCACACACATCCAAATACAGTTGGCGTCCCAGAACCCATATCAAGGTCCGAGACCTTATCCTCGAATGCTGCCTGTGCGTTGAAGGCAGAATCGTTCCGTTTTCAGCCCGTTACGAGGGCGAAGGACTCTCCACTCTCGTGACAAACGCTGTGCGGGACTGAGACGTTACTGCCGGACCGAGACGTTACATCAGAGACGCTGCGTGTCGCTCTTCCAGCTGTGAAAAGTGTCACTCGCGACGAGGCCCTACCAATCTTATACCGCGAAAAATTCTATCCTACAGCGATGGTAGTTCTTGGTATTTGACAAGGGGTGTGGCGCACCATGTCAGACCTGTCTCAACGCAATTCAATGTGAGTCCACTGTTCGGGGTGTTCACATCCTAACAGGCACCGCAATCAAAGCCAAGAGACGTGGCCTGAGATGTTTACTTGGCAAAGCTATCTTATATGTACCTCCGAGCTTAGAGAAGACTCGCTGACACCGAGAACTCAAAGATGGACATAAGCACACGTGCTCCATTCCATATCAGTATAGAAGCGATGGAACAGGCTAACCTAAGAACACACGGACTCGGCAAAGACAAACTGAAGGGGGAGATCCGTTTCGAGCGTGGTTGTGTCCAGGGTGTGGGTTGGGCAGTCAAGCAAAATGTCCCTTGGGAAGATGGCGCTGGAGATGTTTGTACCGGCCTTCGAAAATCTCTTCTGCCCCATTTGGTGTTGTCGACAGGAGGTATTGTATTCTTTTTGTGATGAGATGAGACCGGAGGGTCAATGGTAATGAATAGAGCTGAACGAACTATGTTACGGATATAGAGCGACGGTACCAATTATCAAGCCTAAGCGCGAGACCAGGAATTCGATTCTTCGGTTGGGCAATGAGGAAGAGATGTTGTTCAGCGATGTATGGGGTGAGTAGTGACAGGCTTAAGGGCGTTTTGTGGTACATTGAAATATGATCTGAGATGCTTGCTCACAGCGCGCTTTCTATCAGTCAACATAGTATTTCCCCCAGCACCGAGAGCTTGCAAGCTTCAAAGCACGGATAGCAAAATCAAAGGCGTTATCTCCTAATTTGCGGATAATAGAGCCCATAGTACCTGTTCTCCAAATACAAACCCTATCGTAAGTTGTTAACAGGAATCTATCACTTGAATCGTGGCCATCTATGTATGCAAGCGATGTATCAGATACTAGAGGTGAATATCAAGAAATCGACAACCGTCAATTACTGGACGGTTAGGAAGCACTCCTCGTTCTCGCGCTAGTAGTTCAGCAAATCCAACATGAGCGGTCTATAAACGCAAAGAAACTGATGCTGTCGCTCTATAGCCTACTATGATAAACTGCAATATCGTCTAGACGATCCCATCGACTAGCGCCTAGGGCATAGAATGTCTTGGCACGCATGGCTGAGCCCCTGAATTGTACGCCCTGCCAGTCGATGGGATACTAGGCGAATTCCCAATGACGGACCAGGAGAGCGGGCGGCCGCAGATAGGACATCACGTAGAAGAAGATGACATACCCCAGCTGCTTGCCGTCGTATTTGGGTGTAATCAGGTGTTTTACCCCAATGTTGAAGCACAGCGATGCTGCTTCTCTATGAGCTCTTGCTGAACTCGGATGTGATTGTCAGCGCTGTCCGGATTCATCAGCCTCGCCCGTAGGACATTGGCAGATTCCAGTTGATCTTCTTCTGTCCAGAGTGATACCAACGGCCCGGCAGGGTGCATATCCTCTGAGACAACCTTGACATGGACCGAATTCAAAGGCAAGACGGACAGCTTCCGCAAAAATTCCGCGAAACGAGTCTCTAAGGGCGCATCCAGCCCATGTCCGTTCTTGAATTTCGAGTATGACTCAGTGTCCATCTCATGGCCAATGAGCAATTCCAGACGCCGCAGTCTCTGCAAAGATCTGATGAGAGGTAGCCTTATAGCAGGATTCCACTCTCTTTCCCCTTCAAACGTCCAGTGGATTACCAATCGAAGTTTCTGCACGGTTCTTCTCTGAAACGAGTCCCGAGTCTCCATGAAGCGCTCGAACGTAGTGGCATCGTTGAAAGAAAAAGTGTTTGTAGACCATAGTATTTGGTTGGCTTCCGTGTAGACCTGCCTACAAGTGCGGAGTAAACCCAGATGCATCTCCCTGGGGTATATTCTTCCGTCTTGCTCTTCAAAAGGCACGTTCCTAGGGAAAAGGCTACCTAGACCGAGATTTCGATTGCAAAGTTGCCAACTCAAGCTTGAAAGTCCCTTGGGTAGTAAGTCGACCAACTTGGACTCTTCCTTACTGCGCGGACCATCAGGGTCGCAGACCAATAGGGACCAATGATTTTGTGCAAAAACAGCCTTTCTTTCAACGTCGAAAGGGGTAGAAGACGCGTCGCTCCGTGACTCGCAATCGTCATCGTGGAGGTACTTGAGATGGATGAGCCTGTGCCCTAGCACTTCGGTATATATCTTTCTACGGATCTCTAGAGGCAGCAAACGTAGGAGAGGGGAGGCCGTGGCGTTCTGCAATATCCTGGAAGCACGGGTCAGTGATCTATACGATGAATTCTCTCGGTAGTTGGGATCCAACACGGCTTTGGTAGCAGCCTTTTGGGGCTCTGAAAGGGACGCGCTTCTTACGCTGACCCTCTGCCTTCTCGGCTTCGTTCTTGCGTTTTGCCATGCTTACGGCATTGCAAGTAGTTGAGTGAGTGATCGAAGTTCAGCAGACGAGCAGCTGTGTGTTGGCTGTCTCGTCGCTATTGGTTCGCGGACTCCGCTACGCTTAATCGTTCCTAGCGTGAAACCTCCTTTGCCTGTACAAGCAAAGCCACCCTTCCTCGACAGCAATGCCCCATTGCTATGCGCTCCACCTTTCACTCCCCCATCTTCATCTCTAGCAATACCATCCTTTCCAGTATTCCGACAGCTGGGTCTTCAGTATGGAGGAGATACGTGATGGAAACACCAAGGCCACAGCAGGCGCTGACCATTGGCGTAGGAAATGGAATAAAGAAGTGCGGGAGCAAGAGAGACGCCCAGTGATCGGCTTCTTGGGCTGGAAGATCGTTTTAGAAGATGGAGGCGGTGGCCATGGGACGCAGGACCATGCCCTGATACTGTCGGATGTTCCTGTCAGCGTGGAGACGGCAAGAGAATATCCCAGGTCTGTCCAATGCGGCAGTCCTCTACCCAGAGCATCTACGAGCGCGTTACCCTCTGCTACAAGCATAGCCGCTATGAACTGCGCTTGAACGACGCCATCACGTTCCCCTCGCTCACTCGCTTGCTATTCTCTAGTCCGCTCACTATCTGATATCCTCGTACCCCACTGTACGAATGTGCCGCCAACACCACATCTTTGCCTTTTTCGACTAGGTGTCCTCACGCCGAGCGAGTGGTTTGAATCTCGATGATCAAAGTGGCTGTTATTAGCACTATACTGAAGAGGGATACGGTTAGGCTAGGAAAGGAGCACATTTGAAGGAGAAACATGGTTAGGGTGAAGTGGACGCGCTTGTGGAAGGACCCGGGGACGAACACGATGGTTGGTCTATGAGAGGGTGAGGATAATGTGAAAAGAGGATGAGTGAAGATTGTTGAGATGGATGTCGATGGGACGGATATTTGCAGATTTCGTCCAAGCCACATCAATCACTTTGATGAAACGCTGTCTGAAAGGAGTGTACACGCATGGTGCTGGCTGCACAGGGCGTTCGAATCCCTGACTACGAATCGGCAGGACCAGTGCGTAATCGACTCTGAAAATGGAGGAGCTCTCAACACCAAGGGACAAGGTACGGGAATAACAATCGATATCTGCATGGTATTGAGACCCTCACCACCTTTATCCGAGGAACGGGGAATGCTCGCACACTGCTCCGTGATACAGCTCACACAGGCTTCCTTTCCACCACGATCTGCAAAGTCTTCTCAATGCATCTTCCTTACTGCAGCTCGGCGTATCGCACACCGCTTCCACAAGTCCTCTCAATTCATCGCCACTTCTAGCCGATCCCCATACATTCTGATATTGTCATGTATTCCTTCTGATATACATGTAGAACAGTATGCTCAAGCTACAGCCGAGGTAGCCTACTCCCGCATCATAATGCATCGGAGGACCTTGCTCTGAACTGAGGAGCGCCATCAATCGCTTCCACCGCCACCTTATAATGGGTTGTCTTCCTTCCATTGGTGTCACTAACACCGATGTCCTCAACGGCATGGTCTCAATTACCCCATCCTCGGTTGCGCTGCGTTATTGATGTGAGCACCGTGAGGATGTATTTTCTATTCATGTCAGTATCTCATTATCTTGGCTGCCGACCAAGACGCACCTCTTCTTCCCATGAAACATCTTGAGTGACCACGACTTCGCGTCCGGTGCGCTTCGAGGGTTCAAAGCCAGTCAACTCGTCGTATGTTTCCGGCCCCACACCAAGCCGACTTCCTCTGATGAATGTCCGCATGCCCGTCATGGTACCAGCCGGGATCGCAGGAAGTGTTTCTAGATCGTGATCTTCCGCTGACTTACGAGCCTTTCGAAGTCTTGCAACAGTCGAGGAGTACCATGGTCTTGCTTTGTCTCCACTGGATCTAGAAGCCTGCGTGACGAAGACGGAGCGAAAAGCAGTGATTGAAACCATCGTCACTGCTATACAACCTTCGATTTGAAACCAGAAGAATTGCCATGTGTATCCGTAATTGGCACTGAGATGGAAGCCTATGAGCCTAATGAACGCAAAAAGTATCATGAAGATGCTGAGGCCAAGAAAGGCGCCGATGCCTAGCTTTTGACGGGTGTCGATTCTCACTTGCCACAGGACGCGCGCAGGGATACTGACGACTGCTACGAGTCAGTGTCCTATCTTCTCAGTGTGATGAACATTCGGACTTAAGATATCGGTTGCCACATCAAAGATGATACCAGTCGTGGTGAGACCAGATCGCTTCGTGAATTGCGAGCCATAATCGCATTGAACTGAGGTTTACTTTTACTCAGCTCAAATTTCAGGAATGGCTTTTCGGCGGGTCTACTCACTAGCTGAGGAATCTGTGTGCGGGCAGGCGATGAAGGTATAACACACACAAAATGCGAAAGCAACCGCGTTGACAGCGCAGACTGCTTTCCAGTACACGACAAGTTTCTCAACACGACTGACGAGATGACGAAAAAACACCAAGAATGAAGCTTTGACCGAGAACATGACGACCCAAAGCAAAGGCTCATGGACGAAGTCAAGGATCTGGAAGTTGTGAACTTCAGCGGCAACATCGATCCCAGCTGACGCCGCCTCTTCTCTGGCGGAAGACCCCTCTTGTGCAAAATGCTGAATAAGGAACAGAGTGTAAAGTGACTGGTAAAGCATTGCGAACCCTCCAGTCAGGGCTGCACAGGCGATCATGAGGCAGGCATCATCTAGGAAAAGTCTTCTTTGGTAGTGAAGCCGGACAGCTGTCCGCATGGCGGCTGCTATGATTGCAGTGCCAAAGAGAGTTCCAGTGACGACCTGCTACTGATTAGCTTCATATTGCGATATGCGTGGTAGATCGAATGACCTCAAATGCGATTTTCGGGATCTTGCCATCACCGTCGGTGTCGGAAATTGTCATGACCATTGCGAAGAAGACGGCTTTCGATACCCGCTAAAGAAGAGGTGCAAAATCCTGATGAAATAAGATAACAAGAATAAAAAAATAGAAATAAACATCTGGAAGGGGGAGAGGACACATTGAAGAAGCATCCATTATCTCAGCCGTGGGATCTCTGCGCCTTGCCTGCACCTTGACGTTACCGCCCCATTTCTACTGCCCCGGTATCTTATTCCATAGCGTAGATGACCTATGCATAGCATCCGCAGTAAGATTCCTCAGCCGCATACACCATGCGACGAATCCTTTGGCCTACCAGAAAACAAAGCGGATCAACACCGCACCCACACGACCGGCATACATTTCGCAACTCATGGACTCCAAGCATTCCCTTTTCCATAACGTGCAGAACCTCGGACGAATTTATACCAGAATCGCAAGTAATTGCACGATCAATCGTGGTATCAATGCTGGGTATCCTTCGGGGCTCAGCTCGTTTGCCGCATACCTGAAACGCAGCTCGCTAGCTCACCTGAATACAAGCAGGTAAGCGAGGGACCACGAAATAGCGTCGTAGCAACAGTCTGCATGTCAGCATGCGACATGACCTCTGGCCAATGTGGACAAAGTAGCTGCGGGCTACGAAATGAAACAAGTAAAACAGGCTGCCAAATCGTGCGAATTGATTGTTGCCCTTCGCGGCTCTCTGCAGCACTTGCGCGGAGCTAATGCACTTCTGGCAAGATGCTTACGGTTAGTAAAAAGTTGTTTAGAGTCTGCTATAATGAGCATCACGGACAATGGGTGTGAAAGAGGATTCTAGATTGGTTCGGACTAGGCAACGTTTCTTTGATTTGCTTGATCATGAATGAAAGCTAATGCAGGACATGCGAGGTTGCCATTTTCAGCAAGGGAAGAGAAGTCTGGTCTCTTACTCAATGTACTTTCTCTAGGACTCAGTGCTGTCATCGCCACTATCGCTCGACGAATCAGACTCGTCAAAAGGATTTCGAATCTCTGGCAGGTGTGAAGGACGTATCTTAGCCCACTCGCTGATCAATCTGTCAGCATCCTCTATATGCCAGCTGGCATTCATCCCCTGCTGAGCGAACTTGAATAGCCTCCTAGCAATCCGGTATTGTGGCAGGTACGCGAAGCCTAGAAACCTTTCTCCAACGGCATCTTCAAACAACTGCTTCAGTTCTTGCTGTTTGAGACTGTTTGGTGTATCGTTGGCATGAGCCTCGTCTTCGTCTTCCTCAAAGTCCCACGCCCAGATCCACATCGGCGGAACACAGCCTACGAATCGAGGGGCGAACACTGCGCTGTCCCAATCCAGAATACCAGAGACCGAGAGTGAACTGTCTTGTATATTGACCATTATGTTTTGAGGGGCGTGATTGAGGTCTAGATGGCATAGGCAATTCTCGTTGTCACCTAAAAAGCCAACTTCGTTCATCTGAGTCGCTACAGCTGCGAGACACTTCATGTAATCGGCTTTGATACTATCATCGTGCTTTGAAGCGGCGGCTTTCCACCTTCCAAATTGTGATAGGAAGAACTCGAGCGTAGAGCAGTGATTGGGCGCCTGTGCTGCTAGACTGATATCATCCAGTTCTGGATTGTCACCAAAAGGGTCGGCATCGACATCAAAGGCGCGGACGTTGTAGTTTTGACTGCCGTCTTGGTTGGCGGCAATATCGACCTGACCCGGTGTGGAATGGCCCATCTCTTGCAGCTTACGCAATATGCGACCGAACTCGGTCGAGAAAGTGCATTGCTGCTCATGAGTCAGCTGTGTGAAGTTTTGTTTCTTTGACTGTAAGTCGAAGCCAGGTATCCTATTTTGCACCACGTATGGACGCTTGAGAGGATTGTTCGCTGTGAAGTCCATGGCGACGACTCTTGCCACAGGGATTGTGGAATACTGGTGAACATATTCTACGATTGCGACTTCTTGATTTGGACGGGCGCTTTCGAAACGTGGCACTCTCAGAATGTATCGAATCGCGTCTTGCGACTTTGCTTTGGTGACTGTGATGCCGATGATTCGATTGAAGCTGCCGCCCGAGAGACGCTCGACATGGAAGGTATTGGATGAAAAAAGGCTAGCTGTGCGAGAAGAGGTCTTCCTTGGTAGAAAGCCCGTAAAGACATTGCCTAGAAGGTGCTCGAGGGTTGGAACTCTCATAGAGTTTGGCCATATGTTTAAGCACAGCTGCTCAACGAGTGGCTTGAATTCTTCGAAGGGCTCGTGGTGAAACTCAAGTGTAGATGTCTGAGACCTGACGGAATGAACCGAGTGCTTTGAGGTATCCGCGACTTCTTCCTGAGCTTGCAGATTGGGCAAATTCGCGGTCATTGAGAGTTTTGACTCTTTCGAGGTATTTTCTTGTCTCAAAGTGGTGTCCATGGCCGGTGCGGTACAGTAAAACAAAGAGAGATGCCAGGACTTCACCGCACCACGGCGAAGCTAAATACGTCTAGGTGGCCCCTTATTCTGTATGTTTGACGGTGTCGACGAAAGGTTTGTAATGGTGGGATCTTATGGCCACACATTGCAAGAGTCACTTTGCAGGAATTAGAACTATCGCAGTATCAGAATCTGCATGCATCCGTCAGACCCTTGTCTCTGGAATGTTTGCTTGTGAAGGACAAGGGCGAATTACTAATTCATACCCCAAAAGTATGGATCCTTACCGAATCATACCCCTAATTACTGAATCATACCCCTACACCAAATTTCACCCAAATATGTGGTATGATTCGGTAATTTGTCATTGCTTGGGGTATGATTTGATGAGGATCTTAAATGATAGCTTGCTGATATGAGAGGGTTTAATGAAGTTAATGGTAGCGGTAGGCTTACTGAGCGTCTGGTAGTAGTCGTCGACTTAATTATTGATGACGGTGGTATTTACGCTGCGCAACGGGGCGGCGTTCGGGGCGGCGTTTGACCCCCGAAGTTTACCCCGCCCCGTTGCGCAGCGTAGTAGGAATTATTCCTTCGGGGGCCCTACGGGGCCCTACGGGGCCTACGGGACCCGATTAGGGGTGTCTGCAGCGTGAAGTGCGGATACCCCCGGGCTCGAAATTTCGCCCACTCGGCTTTCGTCTGATGTTTTTAGACTGATAGAATTTGTTAGAATATCAGGTATGTGATCGGATGGATTGATTCTCCAGACCTCTCCGGGGCCAAGTCCTAAATACAGTACAAAATCAGGTGGCTGACCAACACGGTGGCTGGGAAGCGTGGGGGCCAAATTCGACATGCCCCCCTTTTCATCCCAACCCGAACATTTTACAACGAAGGGTTTCCACTACTTCTTCTCACGATGCGCCGCCAAGATCGTCTCAACCCTGATAGTACGTCTCACTGCTTTGAAGAGCGTGTGTGGAAGTCAAAAGAGTGGAAATGTTTCTGATCGACCAAGGCTAGACCGCACTCACTGTACAACAGCGTGAGAGACCACGATTTAGGCGGACGGTAGAAGCGTAAACCCTCATCTTTTCATTGAAAATGACTAAGTACGACTCTCTGAAATCGTTCTCCCTCACGAATTCCAACATTACTGATAACATCGACATACATCGACCCCACGTTCAAAGTTCCTTTGGGACCAAGAACGAGATCAGATTATATGATCGAAACTATGAGTAAAACCCAATACCTCTGTGGTTGCGGTCAATGCACAATGAATCAGTCATCCCAGCATATCTCGCTTTGGCCGCCTTGGTAGCCATAGATTTAAGTGTCTTTGTCGTATGGACCAGAAGACGCCGAGTCTAGGTCAGGATAGTGTACCAGTCGAAGTGTTGACCAACTGACCAAAGCCCACGGGCCCAAAACCCTCCCACAAGAGAACAAACTGCGTCCCCTTGAACTCATTCTCCGTCACGAACTCCTGGATCCAAACCGGCACGAACGCCCACATGTGCCACGTGAGGCTGTCCGTAGGGATGAGAAACAAATTCACCCCACTGTGAAGGTAAGAGTACGAAGGGGCTTCCATGTTCATCGTGGCTTCGCTTTCGAGGAGATGCCGGACGACATCGTTGCTGGCAGCTGATATGCAATCGCTCAATCCAAAAGGGGAGATGGAGCCTCGGTAGCCATAGAATTCGATGGTCAGGCCAATTGATTCGATATTTCTGTCATAGGGATCCGGAAAAGCATTTGTCGTTGTTGCCGCTATCAGAGACTGCGGCTCATTCGTTAGCAATACGGCCAGTACAAAAACTCCGACGAGGTGCATCCTCTGTCAATTCAGTCAGTCACCAAAGCTGTAAAAAGAGGTTCCACCCTGCCGACGCATATATGACAAAACTTTCGTCTGACCGCTGCGGATAATGATGTTTCGAAACGAGCTGCACGCGCTTTCCGCGCTCTTGCGCATTTGCCTTTATCCCTCTCCCAAAAAAGCAGAAAAGATAAGAGGACTGAGAAGTGTCATACGAGGGCACGTGTGATTTCAATAAAAGGGAAATGACAGTTACACCGTCGCGACACCGTGATGCATTTACTTCCACTCTGACGTGATAAAGATCTACATAGTGTACGGGGGTACCACGAAATAGCCGCGACTTCACCATATATATCGGCATGTACGATACTGAAGAGCACGCCCAGTAGCTCGTCCGTCAACTCAGACCTTCTCAGAAGTTCAAGTCTGAGAAAGTCGAGGAATCCATGCGCCTGATCCGTTCAACGCGACTGTCTCGTTGTTCAAAAGCGCTTCGTTACCACCAGAATCGGGTGCCCCCCAGACAACGACATCCAAATACTTACTCGAGCCAACCACAGCAGTACCACCCCAGTGCTCTGTATCCGGTCTGCTGTTCAAAAAACAAACTTCGATGATCCGCATGGCGGCTCCGATGACGTGATCAAATGTTGCTGTTTCCACTGTCGGAGCTGGATGTACTGGAGTGAGTCGTACGACAAGCTGACAAGTGCCGCTGAACCGGCGATATGGCAATATGGTGTGGTCTGAACCTGGAAATCGGCTCCACTGAGTCGGTCGGTT